TATATTAAAATTATTGTATTTACATTCCAATTGCGTTTTAAACGGCTTTTGTAGGTTTTAGTCGTCATTTGTGTTTTCGGACTCTGTATTTTGAGTTAGCCTACATGGGCGATCCACAAACCAAACTAATTCATTTAAGAAATGTAGCAATGCAATTCAGAAAACATTAGATGCTGCAGAGATGGATAGATTGACATTAAAAATAAAGAACAAAGATGACACCAGAATATTACTTAACATGGAATAGATTTTGCAAGCGGTTAGAGATAAGAGGTGGAAATTAGAAGGAAGATAATTGCTATGTATGAACTAAATATAAAAGATGGTTTATAATTATAAATATGCCAGTATAACCAACAGAACTACAAATAAGCTAATACAAAGAGAAATCTATTATTCTGTTACACTATAATTATTATTAGTATGTGTTCATATTCTTTTGTTTTCTGTAAATAAAATGCCCTGACAATACACTGTATTCAAAATGTTTAATATATATTATATACATATATACACACAGATATACACACAAACACATACACACATACATATATATACACACACACACACATATACATACACACATATATATACACATACACACACACACCCATACACACAAAGTGGCAAGAAAAATGGGCTCCCTGAACAGATTTCTCGCTTAGCAACATAAACTCTTGGCTCAGTTGCGGGCGTTATGACGAGGACCGCCTGTCCCCAGGGCCTTTTATAAAAGGAGCAAGCAGGTTTCCTTCTGGAGGCAGGAAAAGAAAACCTGAAGCCTGGATGCCACGCCCATCTTGCATTTCTGGGTTTTTCAAAACCCTTTTCCTGCCCCGCCCCCCCAAAGAAAAGCCTGCAGACCAAGTTTTTCCCAGGCCGCAATTCAGGTGACACCTGCATATTTGCATTGCAATTAGTCATCCTTTGCAATTAGTTCTCCTCCTGTGATTCAACGGGCGGGACGATGAATTTGGAAAAGTCACGGATTACCCACCCGCTCTTTCCAGCATAAATCTTGCCGAGTTACTCCTTACAGGTAGTTCTCAACCTACGACCAGCACGGAGCCACAAATCTACCTTGTTAAGCCAGGCATTTTGTTCAAAAGGGAGTTCTGCCCCCCGTTAACGAACTTTCCTGGCCACGGTCGGTTAAGCGAATCGCTGCCGTTCGATTAAGTTAAGTCACCCGGCGGTCGAGCGAATCTGGGCTTCCCCAAGTGGACAAGGTCGCAAAAGGGGATCGCGTGATCTCGGGAGACAGCAACGGCAACAGTGGGGTTCCTACCTGTTCCACAACCGGTTTGGTGATCGCACTTGGGCACGCACACCAGTGGTGGTATTCAGCCGGTTTGCACCGGTTCAGGAGAACCGGTAGCAAGGATTTGGCATGGGTGGCCACACCCGCAACCTGGTCACTGCTCGCTCACTTGCCCCACCCACCCAATGCTCACCTGCCCAGTCAGTCCTTAAGGTATTTCTTTTCTTTTTCCCCCCCTCCCGACTATCAGCTGTTCCTATGACCAGCTGTTCCTATGATCAGCTGTTCCTATGATCAGCTGTGCCGGGATTCCTCTTTCTTCTTCCTGGTTCGCCCAGGAGGCTTCCCTGAGGGCCAGGAAGTCAAAAAATGGAGGGAGGGGGCACATCCTTCCATTTTTTGTCTTCCTGGACCCCAGGGAAGCTTCCTGGGGGCAAAAATGCCACCCAGGAGGCTCCTCCGAGGCCCAAAAGGCCCCAAAACAGAGCATAGAGGGGTGCTGTGTGCCACTCCTATGCTCTGTTTTTTTTCTTCAAAATGCCCCCCCCGAGGCTCCTGAGGCCAGGAAGGCCTAAAAAACAGGGGGGGGGGGGTTTGCTGCAAAAAAGCCACACCCACACAATCACATGGCCACGCCCACCTAGCCACACCCACAGAACCGGTAGTAAAAAAAAGATTGAATCCCACCACTGACGCACATGTAATACATGTGCACCTAACGCTGGCGTGCAGCTTTCTCCACACCAGCTGAGGCCCTGCCGCGTCACTCAGCAGAGAGGATAAAGGAGAGATAAGTGCAGGGGCAGGTTGAGAAGGCCGATCCTATGCTTTTCTCTTCTTTGTGGGAGACCATTTTTTTTTTTACTACCGGTTCAGTGGAACCGGTGCAAACCGGAAGCATTCCACCACTGAGCAATGGTCGTAAGGACAAATCAGTGGCCAAGCCCCCAAATTTTTGGAAGTCAGTAACCCGGTGGTGGAGTGAATCTGGTTTCTTCCCTGTTGGCTTTTGAAAGTCTCAAAAGGGGATTTCCCCTGACCCCAGGGACGCCACCACGGGCGTAAGTCTGAACCCGTTGCCAAGCATTTCGAGTTTTGATTGCGGGGAGGCTACAGACATGGTTAAAACTGTGGAAAAACAGGCGCGCCAGCGGCATTGGGATGGACGCTAAAGGAACTGTCATAAGTAGAGGACTGTCCGTACACCCGCTCCCTTGCCACCCAAATCTTTCTCCTTCCTCCCATCCTGAGTTCACAGGCCCTCCCATCTCAGAGAAAGTCACACACACATACACACACAGAGGAAGTTACGTGCAGGACGTGCACACGAGCTCCGGAACATTCTCAGACAAGGCGGCCCAACCCCCCCTCGGGGGCCCCCTCCTCCTCCTCCTCCACAACTAAAATAAAATTAAAAAAAATCCGAAGGTCACATTTTTAGAAGCAAAGACACCCAAAAACCACAATGACAGACATTGCCAAGCGCGGCTCCTCCCTTCCAGAGATCTGCATTATTAGTCACCTTGGTTAGGTTGGAGA